TTTCAAAACAGTTCACAGTAGTAATGCTTATGTTTTTTGCCACTTGACTTAGCTTTTCATTATCTTAGATTGGACATATTGATCTATACGTGTGTGCTTGCATCTTGCTATAAATATCTATTGGTCTTTGTATGTTGCAGTCCATTTGCCATGAGGCCCATGAGGTATGCTTTCCATATTTTCCAGTATGAGCATTTGGTGATTCTGGACTCATAGTAGTTGATGCATTTAATTTATTTATTTTCAATTCTTTTTTATTGCATTGGTTTTGGTAGATTATCAAGTAGGATAAAATTATAGCCCTTATGTAAAAAACTTATGGCCCTTTTGCAAACAAATGAAAATAGTCATGCTCATATTCATTGCCAAATTACTTGTCTTTCCATTATTTTAAATTACACATATTGAGTTAATAGTGTGGGTTTTCATCTGAGATACTGAGTAAAAAGCGTGTCATGTGAGATTTAGAAATAGAATATTAGTTTTGGTATTTTGGGTGAACTTATTCTTAAGTGATTGCATATAGAAATGATAAATAAGTGGTTAACGTTGCACAATGGTAAAGGTTCAAAACTTTTTTTTTAAAACTCCTTCAATTTTATTAAAAGTTAATTTTTTTTCTAGCTTGTTGGTCATGCTTGCTATTACTTCAGCAGATTCATGCATGAGATTTTACCTCATTATCTTAGAAGACTACGAATCAGGAAGCTGATTTCCCTATAACTTTTTGGCCGTGAGAGCAAAATTGCATTAAGAAAACAAAATTACCAATGTGAAGAAAAAAATAATATTTCGTGTATTTTGACACCCCGTTTGTTTGCCAACATGTCGAGTGTCTTTTTTTTTTTGGATATGATGTAAAAATGCAGTTTTTTCTTTCTTTTTGGACTATAATTTGCGAACACTAAAACTATTAGTAGTGTAAAATGCAGTTTTGTTAGTATAGTACATAATGTAAATTGAGTGTTTTTCTTTCAGATTTAAAAGCTGTTTTTAGTTAGATGTAGATGGCTATCTTTTTGAATAGTTAGTATAATAATAAGGTTTAAGTTATTGCAGGTCACTATGTTAAATAATGAATTTTCTAAAAATTTATGTAGTAGTTTCAAGCCATGTTACTTGAAATGGAAAATGAGAAGTAATTTTTTTCTTTATTTGTTATCTATTTGTTTAGTTTTTATCATATCAAGCACGACACTATACTGTCACACGTCCCCCCCAATTTTTTCGGGGTAATTTATGTACTCAAAAGGTTTTTTCGTTGATTGCTTTTGTAGTCCATGTCTGCTCAAATGTATTCTAAAAGAGGACACAAGTCGTTTTTGTTTCTATTGCTTCAGAAAAGAAGTTTTACCAATTAGCTTCTATAAGTTCTAAAGAGAAGTTTTGTCCACTAGATCATTATGTGGCAACTATGAGCATTTATAGCATTTATAGTTTCGTCCATTACTCTATTAGATACTATTTCTGAAAATATGCATGAACAATCAATTGTAATAGCTATGAGCTTGCAACTATGCTATGAGTAATTAAGTCTTTTAAATAGAAGACTACAGGTCAATGAACAATCAATTGTAATAGCTATGAGCTTGCAACTATGCTATGAGTAATTAAGTCTTTTCTGATAGCTCTATGCAGATTAAATCTTTCATAGTGGATTAAAAGACATTAATCTACTTTGATGTATTAGTTCTCATTTTCATGTAATATCAAAAGCAATAAATGCCAAAAAGAAATACATTCATTCTTTGTCACCAGAGAAGGCATGCCTCACGCTCATTCATTGCTTGACCATTTGTTTTCTCTAGAGACACTTTTAAAATGAAGGTGTATATGTGGACTTCTACCATGGATGTGTATGCTGAGCATGTTCAGATGATAGAATGATTGACACATGCTCAAGCTCAAGAATGACATTTTGAAATAAAAATAGCAATGGAAATAATTTATGTGCACTTGCATAAATCTTGGAACTATTAGACAACTTCTTAGATTATTCGTTAGTTTTGCACCCCGTGCAACGCACGGGTAAAAGACTAGTATACTATTATTGTATTTTAGTTAGTTCTATAACAAGACTCACATGGGATGCCATGTATGCAATGCATCTCTCACAAGGGAGGAAAAACACTACAACCATATCAATTTTATCTAGTCCTATAATTTTACTTCACACCCAGAAGGGCAGAATCTTCCTATTGCTTATACATAATTATATATAGCAGTATCTCGTCGACCCTTGTTACGCACAAGCTAACCAAGGAAGCTTTGCTTCTAACTATTTCACTCGTGAGAGTCTACGAGAGAGAACAACGAAAGACAGGGTGTAAGACTACCGTCATTTGAGAGAATCGTCGCCATGAGAAATAACTATTAGACTTTTCCGTTAATTGGTCGTTTTTATTTTAATGTAAGCCGTAATTCTTAGTTAGTCCGGTTTAACTAATCAAGGTTCTACTTTAAACTAATCAGTCAATTTACTATTAAACTAATCATTTTTATTATTTATGTCACACGTATAGTTATCATTCGTTACAAAAACGTCACTTTTGTTATTTAAGTCAAAGGTCTATCTGGTCAATATAATTATTATAAAAATGTCATCAATGTTAAAATTTTATTTGATTCACTTAATTATTAAAATGCACCTTTCATAACATTTTATCTGACTCATAAACATTATTTGTTTGATTTTATTTAAAAAAAAATTGGGTTTCACAGTTAGTCACCTCACTCCATTCGCATACCATCATTTCGGTCAAACCACCTAAAGAAGAGAGTGGATATATGAAACTTACCTTCTACGTACCCTCCAACCGAGATAAAGCAAGAAAAGGGTCCAAGGAAGAAGAAACAATAGGAGAAGTGAGGAAAGATCTAGAAAATCAAGATAATGACATCTCTAGTATATCTTTTCATCTTCCATTTAATCTCGTATAATTTAATAAATCGTGTGATAGTCCTCTAAGTTAGTTATACACGTCTAGAGGTGTAGAACGAGGGGTTGGAAGGATGGTTTTATCCAAAAACGAACTTATGATCGGGGTAAAATCGATTCATCGGAAAACACCCTCTCGAAGGGTGTTGATGTTAATATGACTTTCTTTTTACAATAACATGTTAGGGACCTATTCAAGGTGATCTACACTTCTTAAAAAAATCTAGGAGTGGCCGGATTAGTGACCGGAATTCACCGGAAGTTCGTCGGAAGTCGCCGGAAGTAAACCAGAAAGGATAAAAGCTTCTTAGCATTATTTTAAGGTGAGTGACGACTTTATGTCTTATAACTCTTGGGTTAAACGTGAGATTACCTGATATAATAAAAAAATGATTGGCCATAGTAATTATATATTATGTGAATATGACATGATTAATGAGTAATAAATAAATTTTGTTGATGATGGCATGGACACAATGTTTTACCTAAGGTAATCAAAAACATGTTTCATGGAATGATTAAAAGTATCTAAGTATGTGATACGTCAAGATTTAAGCATCTCTAATTTTTTAAGCATTTTGTTCAAAATTTAAATATAACACTTTTAAAGGTAGTTCTGTAGTTTTACTCATTGGCCACACTTGTATCAACAGTGCTTGAAGTAAATCCAAACAACCAAAGCAACATAGAAATACATTTCATGCCAAGTTAGTACTAGTGGCAATAGCCCATTAATAGAACATGACATAGAGATCAACACATGGTCATGCTACTGAGAAAGCCAACAAAGATTATAAAACAAACACCATCTTTCACTTGAAGGGCCTTGGACCGTAATGGAAATCTCTCTTTTCTTCAGGATGAAGAGGGGGAAATCAAGGAGTTTCAGGATAATGAGAGGCCTTGTGCAACATCAGCTAGAACTCCTTGGAAACTTTCATTTGTCACATCACCGCTAAAAAGTCCGGAAAGAAACTCCAGCAAGGAGGCCACACGTGGTACAAAATAATGAGTGTCCACTTTCGATTTATGGTTGAACATGCCAACTAGATTGCAGTCATAATCAACCACGGGGGCTCTAATGCAATTGTGATCAATCCCAGAAAGATGCGCTTGGATGTATATCGATTCAGAATATACTTCTTCGGGAAACAATTGGTTGAGGTGTTGTACACTACCACTCGTGAAATTGTAGTGAAAGACCTTGGAACTTATGTCGATCTCAACAAAGAAGGGGTGAACCACTGAGAAAAGATTAACGCCCATCTCTACCTCTGTATCTCTAGTAGTTAAGATATCTGGAACATAATGATGATCCTCTCAATAGGGTTGCATCCCAAACATCACCTCGATACACGAGGTGAGCACGTAAAGTAGCATTGTTGTTGTCTTTCAACTGAATGTTCAGTATCTGGTTAATCTCTTGTGCACTTGTATTAGGGTAAACACGGGGAAGAGTGTTGAACACGTTCGCATCAGTTAAGTACAACGTCATGGTTGCTGATGTGTACCCAGGGGAGGAATTCCTACAAACATAGAGTTATGCATTGTCTTTTGAACTGATCCACATCCATTTCGTAGCCGCCTTAAGCAAATTAGCAATCCTTTCAGTATATGCAACCATCTAATTACCTGCAGACGTGGCGACGTGCGGTGTTGATTCAATGATTCTGTTGGACTGCTGGCGTGCTGTGGTGGCGGGTGGCGTCCCTATAGGCCTTGAAGAAGTAGCGGATATCGCCTTGGTCGTCAGTGATTGCTGCGGCCCGAAGACTTGGTTAGTGCCTTTACGTAGGGCTTTTATTTTCACTTCATTGAATTACATGGCATCTCTAATATATCTCTTCCTCTTTCATTTAATCTCGTATGATTTAATACTTCCTCCGTCTCTAAATAATTGCAACACTTTTAGTTTTTGGCAGTTTCAAATTAATTGCAACACTTCCTTTTTTTAGCATACAAATATAAATGCAATCCCTTAAATACCCCTAATCAATTTATACCTATGTTTCCTATTTTGTCTCCCCCACCGATCTGATATACCCCTCTTTTCTCTACCCAAATTAATTTAGCCATCCACTCCACTTTTCTCTCTTTCTTATTCACACAATTCACACCTTTTCTCTTTCATTCAGTGGCCAGGCTTCACCCTCCCAAAGAGAATAAATTTCATTTTTATGAAATGGAGATGCAGAGATCTAAACAAACGATGCATAGTCGTTCGCCCGACATACTCCTCCATGTTGAGATGCAGACAGATCGTTTCCCGCAGACTTGGCCGTTCGAAATGATGCGCTTTACCTTCGGACTTTTGGATTTCAAGAGCCTTCTACAAAAGTTTCCCGGTGAAGCTTCACAAAAGGTTAAAAACTATAGCTCGTTTTTATAGTTCTAGCACAAAAGGTTTAATGTATGGTGGTAGTTGTAGCACGTGTAATCTCAAAAAGAATGGTACTGTTGTTGTACAGTAAGTCTGCAGCTTCTCTCACACTTCATTTCGGTGGTACTAAAGCCTAAAGGGTGTAATAGGAACAAATTTACTTTATTGATGTTTCTTAAATCTTGTGCCCAACAGGTATGTTGCATCTATTTAGAGACGGATGATAGTATATCATATGGTAGTCCTCTAAGTTAGTTATACACGTCTAGAGGTGTAGAATGAGGGGTTGGAAGGTTGGTTTTTATCCAAAAACGAACTTATGATCGGGGGAAATCGATTCACCGGAAAACACCTTCTCGAAGGGTGTTGATGTTAATATGACTTTCTTTTTACAGTAACATGTTAGAGACTTATTCAAGGTGTTCTACACTTCTTAAGAAATCTGGGAGTGACCAGATAAAAGACCGGAGTTCACCGGAAGTTCGTCGGAATTCATCGGAAGTCCCGGGAAGTAAACCGGAGAGGATAAAAGCTTCCTAGCATCATTTTAAGCTGAGTGACGACTTTATGGCTTATAACTCTTGGATTAAAAATGAGATTACCTGAGGTAATCAAAACCATGATTTGAGAAATGATTCTAATAGATTAAAACATGTGATTGGCCATGGTAGCTATAGTTTATGTCAATATGACATGATTAACGAGTGAGAAATAAATTTTGTTGATGATGGTATGAATATAATGTTTTACAAAAAAATGGATAATAAACCATATTTTCGAATTAGGCATGAGATTACCTAAGGTAATAAAAAACATGTTTCATGCAACGATTAAATGTATCTAAGTATGTGATATGCAAAGATTTAATAAGAATGTGTTGATGAGTGTACTAAGTGTGTTTAATTTTGGGTAAAAAGTGATTACAAAATATGTATGATGATCTAGAGATCCAAAATGATATTTTTGGATTAAGAATGACTTGTCGTACGAGTGTTTAAAATTTAATAAAAAACATACTTCTTTTGGATGATCAAACCAGAGTTGACCAAAATTTAAAATCGTTGACCAGCGCTGGTTGGACCAAAGGTCCGACGCTGGTTCGGATCAAACGGCCACATAGCCTTCGTTTCAACGCATGTCTAGTGCTGATTATGTTAGAGCAACCACAATGGAGGGTCAAATTATGTTAACAAAAATGTGATGGGGATTGACCCCCACTATGCAAGATCACAATGTGATAAGTTAAGATGATGGGTAAAAGATGGGATTTGACATTTTTGTTTTTAATCTTGCCAAGTGGCTTTTTGAAAGGGAGTGTCGGTCAAGTGCAAGAGGAGAATTCTCTTCCCAAATTTCTAGCCACAAATCCCACCAACTCTTTAATTTAATATTTTATGCATTAAATTAATTTATTTTACAAAAACAAATTATGCCAAAAAAACAGATCTTTTCCTTCTATAAATAGACACCAATGAAAGATATGTTTAGTCACTTCGAAATTTACCATTTCTTTCCCTCTTGCATCTGATTTTATCTGTTTTAGAATATTTTTCTCCCTGAAAATGGATCCAAACCATTATCCCCCTAGAATTCCTCATTCTACACAACAATCTCCCGTAAGAAATTTTCAAATTGATCCTTCTCATCCAAAATTTGGAATGGCTATGTAGCTAATGCAAAATAATTCTAATTATGTACAATATTCTCATGCAATTGGTCTATTAAATAATGGATCCATGTTTACTCCAAAAGTAAACTATTTTCCACAAGATCTGAATCCTTTTTCTACTCAGCAGAGTTTGTTTCTCCTCCACTACCACAAAACTTCAACGGTATGCCTCACATGAACTTCAACCATGATCCTTCAATGTTTGCTCGTGAGACAAGTCGTGAAAATGTGACTTCTGTTAATCTTGGAGATGAGGAGGACAAAGTTGAGGCAAACACAGAGTTAGTGTCATCACCAAGCAAAAAGTACAAAGAAAAAAGATGGACGAGCTAGTACGTCGGTTACTTGGACCATCCCTGAAGATGTGACCGTAACATGGCATATATTCATGCTGGTGGAGACGTCTCAAAAGGTATGAATCAAAAACACCTCACACATTGGTTAAACATCACAAAACATCATATGGATACACAACAAGAGCAACCACAAAAACTAAGGATGAGAACGTTAGAGTCATGTTGTAACCGGTTCGAACGTGCAGGCACACTCATAAGCAAATTTGCCAGAAATTATGATGAAGCTGTTCAACATCGTAAGAGTGAGTTGAGTGGACTGAAGAAGATGTTATAACTGAGGCGAAGCGCCTCTTTGGTGCGGACCACAACAACAAAACTTTTCGATTTGAACACATGTGGAACATATTGAGAAATTATCCTAAATGGGGTGGTGGATCCAACATGCAAAGTTCTTCCCAATTTTGTGAAAGTGGAGGAAGTTCTAAAAGAACACGAACTGATACGAACGAAGATTTACTGAGTGAGGAAATGCCTAGGCCAGAAGGAGTGAAAAAATGAAGAAAAAAAGGTAAAATTCAATATTCGTCAGCCGAATCGTTTGAAAGTATTACAAATGCAGTGACAAATTTGAACAAACAAAGGGAGTCGGAACAAGTTGTTGACATGGAATGTATTGAGTTACAAGAACAAATGATTGAGCTTCAAAGGCAACATTGGGATGATAGACTCAAAGAGAAAGAGGAGAAACACATCCAGAAAGAAAGAGATCAAAGGTTCCACATGTTCACAACTCTCGTGGGAAAGTCCTTGTTAAATCCACGAGAAATGGAGATTTATGAACGTTTGTTTGAGGAGTTCAAGTCTAGTTTCTAAATTTCTTTTGTCGTACTTTATTTCTTTTACGAATAAATGTTTTTATAAATATGATGATTTCAAGATTTCATTTGAACTTTATTGTAATAAAAGGTATTATGTGTTTGACATTTTATTTTGTCATATTTATTGTGTAATTTATTAATTTTGAAATTAACTCCACACCTAACATCACCCACCAATTAAATATGTACCTAATAAATAAATACATACCTACCAAATAAATGCATACCTACCAACCAAATGCACCTACCAACTTCATACTTACCTAAAAAAAATGCATATCAACTAACATAACTCATACAAACCACATCTACCAGTCTAAATCATAACTATTTAATGTGGACACTACGTTGAAGAAAAAACACACCTCAATTCAACTCCCTGAATATGTCTGCATCCTCTACCTCCTCTGACTCCTACGCCGATGAATTTCAAAGCGAACTTGATGAGCTCGTCAAGTTCAATGAAGATGTTGACGCATGAAGTGAAGAGAGAAGGGACGTAGAGAATAGCATAATATCTACTTTACCTCAATTGCTAACAAAAACAATTGAGCGTCCCATCCAAAGGCGACGCTACTTGCATAGGGACCGTGACAATGCTCATAAATGTTTAATGTGTGATTACTTCATCGATACTCCAACATATGGACAACGTGAGTTTCGTAATCGATTTCGTATGCGTAAATGTGTCTTTAAGTGAATCATGAATGCTTTGAGTGCACATAATACGTTCTATCACCAAAAGCGAGATTTTGTTGGTCAAATGGGATTTTTTTTAAATCCATGAAGGCAAACCACCAATATTAGTGGGGCAAATGCCGGGAGTCAGATGTCGTTGTTTTATTAAAATAGGAGGGGATACAAAGGAAAAGGGGGCTAGACCAAAACCTTTCCCGGGAGGCATACCTCCCAAATTAACACTAAAGAAAAATCAAGAGAAAGTCTAAACAGCAATTGGGGGGGGGGGGGGGGGGGGCTATACCTGACCCAATTGAGAAAAAAGACAAGTAAAACAGGGATTAACATCTAATAGAAGGGATGCTAAATTTATCCATATAAAAAGCCCTTCTAGCCCGAATCGGAAGTGAAGATGAGCTAATATAACTTTTTGTTAGGCCCATATGATCAGTAGCCAATAAATGAGCCGTCCAGTTCCCCTCTCTCAAAACATGCCCAAGTCGGAGGCCTTTCCTATTCATTCAGCTTGGTTTCCTGAATTAGATCTGACTAGCACCTAACATCTCTATCATTTATCATTGCCAAAGCCAAAGTCGAATCCGATTCCACCTGAAATCCATCGAAACCTTCTTTCACAGCTCTGCGAATCGCCACTACCAAAGCCTTGAGTTCCGTTTCTACCGAAGACGCAACTGTAAGCGGGAAGCTACAAGCCCACAGAGTTGCAAATAATTGCTCCTCCTGATGCTTCTCCATATGAGTATCTCTCATCAAATGGGATTATCTGTGCAACAAAAGTGCACTTGTGCCATACAGATACTGACGTTTGGAGTTATGGCGGATATTTTAGATGAGTATCTTAAAGTTGCAGATAGAACTGGAATAGAATGTCTCCTTCAATTTGTTGAAGGGGTCACAACCATATTTGGGCCCGAGTACCCTCGTAGGCCAAACACCCAAGACGTCACACAGCTTCTTGTGGAGGGTGAAAATCGTGGATTCTCAGGCATGACAGGTAGCATTGATTGCATGCACTGGGAGTGGAAGAATTGTCCCCGAGCATGGAGAGGTATGTTTCAGGGTGGGAATAAAAACGCTACCCTTATCTTGGAAGTCGTTGCCTCTCGTGACCTTTGAATTTGGCTTGCATTCTTCGGGACACCAGGTTCTTGCAATGATATTAATGTGTTTGATAAATCCCCCATTTTTTATGATGCCCTAAGTGGCCACGCTCCACGTGTTCCGTATGTCGTGAATGATAATGTTTACGATATGAGTTATTATCTAGCAGATGATATTTATCTTAAGTGGGCTGTCTTTGTTCCAACCATCACTGCTCCACAAATTGCCAAACACAATTTTTTTGCACAACGACATGAGGGCGCGAGAAAGGATGTGGAACGAGCTTTCAGAGTGTTACAAGTGCGATGGGCAATTGTAAAGTACCCATCCTTAGCTTGGGATAAACAAGTATTGGGAAAAATAATGATGGCTTGATTGTTATGCACAACATGATTGTAGATGATAATAAGGAACAAGGAATTGAGCATGACAATGATGAATGCCTAGTGTCTCTTGAATAAC